ATATTTCGCTGTTTATATAAAAATAAAATAATAAAATTACAATAAAACTTTTACATTACACAAAGAATATATATAAAGCACACTGGGGCTCAAAGAAGATAAGGATGACTGATGTCACCACAATCTTTTTATAGAGCCCCTTTACAATATCATTTAAAGCCCTCTTAGCTTTAGAAAATTTACAACAAATATTTTATCTGTTAAATACTACGTGAAGAGTAAAGAAAAACTCATATATACATATATACACATATATACATATACCCATAAAAACACACACATATACAAACATTCTTACATATATGTCAGAAATTTAGGAGATGCAGTTTCATTTTTCAAATTTTTTATATTGGGTTTTCTAATCTCTTTAAATAGTTAACTGCTTTACATGCGTGGTTTTGTAGGCTCTGTAATCTTAATAACTTACTTTTGTGCGTGTTAGCCCAAACAATATTAGCATAGGAGAGATGACAATGAACAAGACTGAAGTAAAGCATTTTGCGTGATTTATAATCAAGAAAGGCCCTAGATTTATATAATACACTTATAGCAGAAGATATTTTTGCTTCAATGAGACTAATATGTTTTTTTCATGATAGGTTCTCATCCAATAATACTCCCAAAAACTTTAAACGATTTACTCGATTTATTTCATTTTTATTGATTGACAGTTTTGGCAACTTTAATGGAAGGTTAGTCGATTGTCTTATTTTAAGGAAGAGAGTATAACTTGTTTTTTCACATTTTAATGATAACTTATTAGCTATAAACCATTGATTAAAGCTTTCTAGTTCAGTGTTCATTGTTTCGAACAATATTTTTACATCAGAATTGTTGTAGAATAAATTTGTATTGTCTGCATACATAATTGACGATACTTTATGAGAAGCTTTATTCATATCATTGATATATATTAAAAATAATAAAGGTCCTAAAATTGATCTCTGTGGGACTCTGCAAACAATATCAAGAGTTCCTGACTTCTCCAGGACAACAAACTGTTTTCTATTAAAAAGATAACTCTTAACCCACTTATATGTTAGGCCTTTAATGCCGTAATGCTTTAGCTTTGAAAGCAAAATTCCATGATTAACAGTATCGAATGCCTTAGAGAAATCGTTAAATACTCCTAGTACTTGTTCCCCTTTATCAAAGGACATGGATATTTTATTGGAAAGTTCAATAATGGCATGTTCAGTTGAGCAATATCTCTGAAATCCAAATTGGTTTTTGTATAAAAGTGTATTTAATGTCATATAATCATAAATTCTATTAAAAATTACCCTTTCAAATATTTTTGAAAATACAGGGAGTAGTGATATAGGACGGTAGTTGCAAACAGAAGAATTTTTAAAAACTGGATATTTGTGATATGATATGAATTTTGGCTGATTTTAATTTATCAGGAAGTATACTATTCTCAAATGAAAATGCTATTAAATAAAATAATGGGTTACTTATACTGCCCATGACATAGATAGCTACATTACTGGTAATGTCGTCATATCCACATGACTTGTTACGCTTTAGTTCAAATAGCGCTTTGTTAAATTCGTGTTTATTTATTTTTTCATTAGATATGCTAGTCGCAGTTTTCTCTCCCAAGTATTCATCAGACGCTTTAGTTGACCGAACAATGTTAGATGCAAGAGAGGCCCCCACATTAACAAAATATTTGTTAAATTCTTGACATATATTTTTTTCACTTGTTATAGCTTTGTTGTTAATAATTACTTTTTTTGGAAAGCAAGAGAGTTTTTTTTTCTCTCTTCCAGTTACTTCATTTATAATAGACCAGGTTTTCTTGATATCAAACTTATTTTTATTCAGCTGGTTAGAATAGTATTTTATTTTAGCTTGTTTTAAGTTTTTTTGATAAAACTTTTTATATGATTTGTACGCATTTTTGTCATTTTCCTTTTTAGATTTTAGAAATTTTATATAAAGCTTTTGTTTTCTTTTTGATGATTTTATCAAATTATTTGTCATCCATGGGTTTTTAAGGTGTTTATTTTTTATTTCAGTGGCAAACATTGTCATAAACATTTTGAAAAGTATTCGAAAAATTCTCCAACGCGCTATTGGCGTCTGCGGAGGAATAGACATCTTCCCATCGCTCTTCGTACAGTTTCTTTTTAAGTTTATCTAGGCCTTTAAAACAAAGATTTCTTTTAGTAACAAATATTTTTTTATTGTCGTCGTTAGATGAAACTCCGTGCGCAATAGATAGGAAAATGATCAGAGAAATCTGTAATAAAAATACCTGATTCAAAATAAGTATCTAAAATATTATTACTTAAAATATTATCAATTGCGGACGAAGTAGTTTTTGTAATACGCGTAGGTTTAAAAATGGTAGGTTTTATGCCAAATTCAAGTAATAAATTAAAAAAGTTTTTTGTATTTACAAATTTTTCATAACACATTGCATCCAAATTTAAATCACCAGCAAAAAAAATATGCTTATTCTGAATACTCATTTGCGAGATAATTGTTCTAAGGCTATTATGAAAATTAATTTGCTTACCGCATGGCGGTCGATAAAGCGAGGAGATTAAAAAAGGCTTACCAGTTTTATTTAGAATTTCTATACACAAAGTTTCAATATGTTTGTTTGCTTTACAAAAAGTTTTTTTTGTTTTAAATACAAACTTGTCAAGAATATAGGTTGCAACGCCGCCTCCCATGCTTCTAACACGTGGTTGACTTATTATTTTTAAAGATGATAATAAAAAAAAACACTAAAAATAAAAATAAATTGGTTTTCATTATATATTTCATTACATATATGTATTCATTAAAATAACAATTGCGACAGTTGCTACAAACCTTCCGAAGAAAAAATACAAAAATGTTTCAAAAAAAAGATAAAGAATGTTTTTAATGACCAATCAATTTTGTAGAAAGTTACAAAACAATTGCATCAGTTGCTCTAAATCGTTCAAAATTTATTAAGTACTGATATTTCACCTGCCATACGTACTTCGCTTGTAATATTTGGAATCGAGTGTAGGGGAGAAATACTCCTATTGAATTATAAAAAACCCGTATCCGCGTCCCGCATTGCGCATAAATCTGAGATAATTTTACATAATTTTACATAATATTCTAATACCTCATTACATGGCTTTCAAAATTTTATAACAGTATCTTTAATAATGGAGCTGTGCCGGAGTACTTATCAACTTCCATAATTATTCCAATAGTAAAATCCTTAATAATTCAGATAACTACCGCGGTATTAGTATTATACCTATCTTGACAAAACTCTTTTAATATATTATCATGCATGTATGTCCGGAAATATCAGACAGCCACTCTCATCAATTGGGTTTCAAGCAAAATAGCTCCACCCTGCATGCAGAGTTCCTATTGAGACACTAAAACATTATAATAATAATAACTCGCCAGTATATAGGGTAGGGTGGGGCAAGATGACCAGTGGGGCAAGAAGTCTTTTTACTTTTGTGAGGGTATCATAGAATAGTAATGTTTTATTCCTCTATTATAATATTAATATAGTTAAAACAATATCACGGAACAAAAAATAGTTAAAATATCGTTATTAGTTAAGGTTTAAATAGATTTTTAACTTTTTTGAGTATTTTGTTAGTAAGTTGCTTCTAACTTCAAATGTTTATTGGACTGGCAATACTTATGCGATGAAGGTAAGAAAATAGTTTTTTTTATACAGAATTTGTCCCACAATAATATATAGAAAAAAAAGTTTTTAATTAAGCAACAAAATTAGTTTTATTTGTATTAAACTTGCACTCACTACATATGAGGCAAGATGTCCTCGTTTACGTGGGGTAAGATGCCCACGGAGAGCTTCTAGTCTCGTGGTTTTACGGAATTTCTACCATTTTAAAAGTGTGTTTAGAACATAATAACGTTTACTAATTTAGTTATTGACTTTGTTTACATGTTGGTTTATGTGTTGATAACTATTATACATATATATAAATAATTTTTTAAAATAATTTTATATATTTTTAAAATGTTTTAATATGTATGCTAAATAAAGTGAAGTGTGAAGTTGTATTACATACAGTTACTGCAATTCAATCCATACTTGTAAAACATTTATAAATTATTTATAAATATATATATAAATGTATTATAAATACATTTTTAAAGTTTGCATTGCATTTGGGGAAATAAAGTTATATTATATTAAATTAATGATCAGCAATTGAATGTAAATAATAATAATAACAATAATAAATTAAAAAAATAATAATACCATTGTTATTAATAATTCTTGGGTAACTTTGTGCAAAAATTGTATGCATATAACTTAAGTAAGTTCTTATTTAACTTAAAAAGAGTTAATTTGTGAATGTAAGGTAATGTTTGAAACACTAGTATATTAAATAATTATATAATACTTTGCATGTGTTTATATGTTTATATAATTTAATTTTAAAATTTTTATTTAGAAACATATTTAAACAATTTAAATAATGGTGAGAAACTATGTGCGAAAAACTTAGAGAGGTGCAACTAATGATAGGATAAAGTCAGCGTTAGAAGCTATGGAGATAGGCTGCAGTCTGAAAAATGTTGCATCAGAATTTAGTATTAACAAAAAAACATTACAACGTCATCGAGATGGAAAAGTAAAAGTAGTTGGTGGTTTATCTCTGGGTGGAAAATCTCCTGTATTTAGTAAAGATTTTGAATTAAACATTGTAACACAAGTTCAGATTATGGAAAGAACATTATTTGGCTTGACAACAATAGATATATGTTGCCTAGCATATAATTTTGCTAAACAAATAGGAATTGAAAATCCTTTTAATAATGAATCAAAAATGGCAGGAAAGGATTGGCTGCAAGGATTTATGTCTCGCAACCCACAACTTTCTATTCGAACCCCACAAGCCACCAGTGTAAGCAGAGCTGTTGGCTTCAATGAACCAAAGTTTAATCAGTTTTTTTCAGTATAGAAGTCATTATTTGAGGAACATAAGTTTTCAGCCAAACAGCTCTGGAATATGGATGAAACTGGAATAACAGATGTCCATAAGCCAGGAAAAATAATTGCAACAAAGGGAAAACAACAAGTTTCAAAAATAACTAGTGGAGAAAGAGGTGCTACTGTGACTGTCGTGTGTGCAATGAGTGCAAGTGGTGTTTATGTCCCACCATTATTTATATTCCCCCGTAAGCGAATGACTGATAGGCTGGCTTTTGGTGCACCTTCAGGGTCAATTATTAGAGTTAGCTCCAGTGGATGGACAGATTCATCTTTATTCATCGAATGGTTAACTCATATTGTTACTGTGACTCATGCATCTAAAAATAATGAGCAATTAATTGTACTCGATGGTCATCATAGTCACAAAACACTTGAAGCCATTAACTTTTGTCGCAACAATGGGATTCACCTCATAACTCTTCCACCTCATTGTACACACAAAATGCAACCTTTAGACTGTACATTTTTCAAACCATTGAAAGTTGGTTACAATACTGCAGCAAGCAACTGGATGTTATCGCATCAGGGGCGTAGAATTTCATTTTTTGACATGGCAGGTATTTTTACAACTGCCTATAACTTTACTGCAAACATTGACAAAGCAATCAATGGATTTAGATGCTCTGGTTCATACCCAATAAATGAGCTTATTTTTAACGATGAAGCCTTTGATACAGCTTTGCTCACTTTGCTCAAAATTTCCATATTATAAGTATTTATACTAATGAGATTTTTTATAATAAAAAAAAAATGCAAAAAACTTTTTTTCTCAATTTTTTCATATAATCATATTTTTGAATTTTTAGTTTTGTTTTTTATTTTACTTTTTGAAAGAGATTATTTTTTGGTTAGGAAAAAGTTTTTGTTTATTTGTTGTATGCATATTTAATTTTCAGATAACAAGTTGTAGAGCATAGAATGATTATCCTGAAAAACATATCGCTTGTAGTTTTGTTTGGTTGATTATATCATTTTTAAAAGGGGGCCTACTTTAGACCACTCTCCCTTATATTTAACACAACACATTGTTAAAAAACTGAAAGAGATTAGATGGCTTAGTAAACAGGCCAAATAATAATAGCTGCTTGCTGTATTTATTACACTGTATGTAAATACTTACGGCTATAACTATAATAATAATAATAAATTGCAGATAATACTAAAATTTTATCGCACACTAATTTTGCTGCAGACCTGCTGGATTGTCTACGCTTTGTAAACAAAAACACTTGGTTGCTTAAATTAAAGATTTTAAAATGCTTTTTTATTCACTATGGTCAAACCTTTTACTTTTTACAAAATAACTAAGGTATGAATGAATGCCAAAGAAGCTATACTAAAGAGCGTGATTTGGGATTTGTTTTTACATCTAACCACTAAAAAGTTAATTTTACCATTACTTGCCTTGAGTCATGGCACCTATGATACGATCCAATCCAAATTTATAAACTAATACATCGTTTTGATAAAGTTGATAATATGTAAGGACCAGCAATTGTCTTGGGGTTCTTAAAAGCAATAAAAGAGTTCATAGGATTGCTCTTTATAAGTAGGTAATGCAATTGGTTCCACATCACATTAGTTCTAGATAATTTGCATGTGTGATTAAACCTCGCATTTTTTATGTTCTTATGTTGTGCTTCCTGAGCTACCTTAGAATAGACTACAATGGTTAGATCCAAATGATCAGCTATTAAAAGTATATGCTCCAGAACCTTGTGAAGTTTCGGTGACATATTGTACCAAGGATCGGTTTCTAATAACAGCTCTAAAAGTTTTAGACTGCAAACTGCAGTTTAAAACTGCATATAATATATTTCTGAACCTTGCAATGATGTCCAAACTAATTCTTGTTGGTTCAGAGAAAAACTCTGCTGTAAGAAATGCTCTTTTTGCAGCAGATTTTTCTGGTTCTTATTAATATCTTGCAGCAAAATTTTCTGCTTTCTGGGTTTGACTATACAGTATTTCCACTTTCGATGAAACAAAAGTTGTTTATCTTCAACTCCAGTTTCAAGATCTGTGTCATCAAACCTTTAATTGCAATACACTTTGAGAAAATGCCCCATCCATTATAGCTTTCAGATAGAATTTTCCAGGTGTTTGTGTATTAGGTATGTTCATAATTTTTGATAAAGTGGGCTTCAATATTGACTGATCAAATTATTTGGCAGATGATTCTGAAATTTCAAAAGGTTTTGGATTTTGGGCTTTGCATCAAAAATCACTTTGACTGAAAGGTATCTCTTAGTTTAAGTAAAAAGTTGGGAAGCACTTGATATTGTGAATCACTGAAACCACAATTTATCTTTAATGCAAGAGCCTCTTTTGCATTCATCATTATTGGATAAGTATTTTCAATACTTTTCCTGGCTAGAGTTGGATTTTAGACAGATTGTTTAATAACTTTTGCCTTTCCAGGGTTTGATTTAGCCCTCAATGCAGTAACACGTGCAAGTTCTTCTGTACAATGGTTACCAATTAAACTAAAAAGAATGTTTTATATTTAAAAAGAAAAATGTACTCTTTTATATAAAATTAGCAACCAAAAGCATAGTAGGTAGGTTTTAAATACCTAGATTTTTACCCTTTTTTTATTTAAATTATCTACGAGCTATCAGTCCATGGGGTAGCATGTCTTTTTGGTTTTGATGTTGGAGGACCAAGTCTTGCATACAGTTCTTATGCCAGCCATTCTTTTTTACGTTCTTCAAGTTGAAAAAAAGTTCATTTGATCTTCAGCTTGGCAACAAATGTTTTAATCTTTCCTTTTAAATCTCCCAAGTCATGAACATTTATTCTAATCTTTAATTCTTTTTCATTCACTGAATAAAAGTTGGGATTATTAATCCCAAGCTTCTTGATTTTATCCAAAACATCAACTCTTCTGTTCTTACAACATCAGTATCTAAGACCCAAGAAATACTGATAAAATACTGTACATATGCAGAGCTGTTTTTACATGTTCAATATAGCTATTTTTCAGGCATGATTTTAATCTATTTTAATGCTAATGTTAAATGAGGATGTGTTACATAAAATTATGGTAAATGGAGCATTGGAAACAATAAAAACCCAAATTACAGACCCCCTCCCCAGACCCAACAGCAGGGGGGACAGTACTTTAAACTTAAATTTTTTGAAAGTTTAAAATAAAATTCATATTTGTCGACAGAATTCAAATTTCATCATAAAATGTTTATAACCCCCTCAATTTGAGGCAATATGAGAAAGCTGAATTTTTTTTTTGGTTATCCATGACAATATTCCCAGGGATGAAAATTCATTTTAGGCTGGAACTCTGTGAAACTTTTGAGATATTATTTTTCAAAAATCGTATATATATCAAAATTAGATTTTCACCTGATATTTTAACTACTCATAAGTTACTCATAATACTTAACAAAGACTATCTTTTAAGGTTTCAAGGTTTTTGCTGTTGAAATGGATTTATAAAAGATTAGCTGAATATTATAAAAAATTAAATTAGTAATTTAAATCAATAAAAAAAATTTCATAAAAAATTTGCAAATTTGAGCGGTCTTTTTTTTACATTTTAACAAAAAATTGATAAGAATTTATATAAATAATCTAAAAATTTAAGTATTAATATAATATAGGTATAATAGTTGCTTAAAATTAGATCTTCAAATTTAATACATAAACAATATTATTCTTGAATCATTTTCAATGTTATTATTATTACTTTTAATATTTTGTGTCACATTTTATTGCAAATAATTTATCTAATTACTTTATTTACGTCATTATTTTATATTTACATTTTTTTATTCATTAAGTTAGTTAGGATGTTAATGAATTTTAGTTTTATTAATGCTATTATTAACATTATTATTATTATCATTACTTGTTTTTAACTTAATTGTTGTTAGGAAAATAAATTTCTTGTCGTTGTTATAAAATAAAAATGTCTAGTGAAAAGGAACAACTTTACAAATCTATTTATGAAGGATATTTAAAAGCATTTGCAAATAAGCCAAAATAAAAGTTTCAAGAAGAAACAAATAAAATCTGGTCTGAGAGCAAAACAAAGAGCTAAAATAAATGCGTAAGTTGAAATAAAATTGAAAGAACTAAAACAAATTGAACTCCGAAATAAAGTTGGTATTAGGGTAGACCGGTGTAGCGTTTTTAAATTACTGCGTTAAAATTTTACTGCGCGGAAGTTTTCAACCGTACAAACTTCATTTGCGGTAAATTGCGGTAAATTGCGGTAAATTGCGGTAAAATAATTATACTGAGGCAGTAATATTTTAACGTTAAAATTTTACTTCACTCGTTATAATTTTACTGCTTTTTAGTTTACAATTTATATAGCTTATTTTGTCAAGATGTACAAAAATATTAACTTTAATGATGTCAGGAAATATATAAATGACAATGCTTTTCCTGAAGATGTGAATGAAAGAAGAAAAAAAGCAAATTTTAAACGGCAGTGTAAAAACTTTGTTATTGTTGACAATAAGTTGATGTATTGCAAAAAAGGTATTGGCGAGGTAAGGAAAACTTGTTTTTATAAAAGAAGTTTTTATTTAATTTAAAAGGTTTTACTTAAATAAAATAAAGTAATTAAACAATATTCTTTATTGTGCATTATTTTGAATTAACACAACGTTTTTCAAAAATTCGAAAATTTATAGTTTTAAAACAACTCAAAATAATGTAAAAATTTCATACAAATAATTTTTTTTATTGTAGGTGATTGTGGTAATAGATCAGGAAGAATAATTAAACATTGTTAAAGAAGTCCATGAGGGTCTCGGTACTTCTGAGAAAGCTGTTGCATTAGCTAGCCACTTAGGAATTAATGCTGTGAAAAAGCAAATTTCTTCAAGATTTTTTTAGCATTCAATTGTGGAGGATATCACCAAATATGTAGCTCAATGTGAACGATGCCAAATAATCTCTAACAGAAACCTAAAAGTGTCTCCTGCTTTAAAACCTGTTAAAGTAGAACAACAAGTTATGAAACAAGTTGGTGTAGATTTAATTAAATTACCTGAATCAAATGGATTCAATTATGTAATTGCCCTTATAGATTATTTTTCTAAGTGGACTGAAGCTGAACATCTTATCGATAAGCAGCAGTATCAGTAGCAGCCTTTCTTTATAGAGTTATTTGCAGGCATGGTTGTTTTCAAATATAAATTAATGACCAAGGTCGTGAATTTGTAAATTCAGTATCCATTGCACTTCATGATATGACAGGCGTTCAGCACGTGTAACCTCTGGTGACCATCCACAAGCCAATGGCCTTGTGGAGAAACAGAACCAGACAATTAAGAAAGCAATTGTTAAGGTCTTAAATGAAAATGTTAAAAGTTGGGCCTCAGTTTTAGATGGAATCCTTTTTGCTTTACGTGTTAAAGTGCACGACTCAATGGGGTATTCACCATTTTACCTTATGTATAAATAACAACCCTATCTTCCAATTGATGTAAAGTACACAAATGTACTCAATAAGGATAACTACAATCCTGTATATGATAAAGAAGTTTTACAAAAAGCTTTACAAATGAAAAGAGGACTTGAAGAAAAAGCCATGACCAATATTGCTTGTGCACAAAAGAAACAAAAATTGACTATGATAGAAAGCATACAACACCATCAAATTTTTTTGTGGGTCAAAAAGTACTATTGAGAAACCTAAAAAGAGAAAATAGAAAAGGTGGGAAAATGACTGTCTCGTGG